CTGATTGAGAGTATGATAAGTCTCAAAAAAATTATCTTTATAATGCAAACAGATTATAGAAACATAAGCGAATCACCACGAAAACCGAGATCAATGTCACAGAGCGATTCAAAAACGTCCAGACAATTTGAACAGTTCTGTTTGTAGCATTAGAGGCTTGGTGCCAAATCAACAAGGTGCAGTCAGCCATGCACCTGACCCAAACAGGATATCAAAAATATAGGAAACGCATAAGCACTAAAAAGGCCGTAATTATTCAGGAGAGGTGTCCGAGAAGTCGCTTGTTTTATGGTAGGTACAAAAGCTCAGACATGAACTTTTTGGTAGGTAACTGTGCTGCACTTAGTACCATTCCTCAGAAGACCGAGCTGGATCGAAAAATTTCCCGAGATGAAATTGAAGCTGCCAACAAAACTAAAATTGTGACGTTTGGGCAGAATACACCAATGCAGACTTTTCATTTAGGAGGAAATTCCCTAATGCTTTCACCGCAGTAGATTTGGATCTGGTAATACTGGGAATAGACTTTTTAAAGAGAGATGATTTTCTAGTCGACACTAAGATACGACGTTTGACACTTGAAGAAAATTCGAGTTAATTTATTCAAAGAATGTCACATCACTTCTCTAAATTCGATAAAAACTCCACCAATAACAACTGCGAAATTCTAGACTATACTGGGGGAAATTCCAAACCATACAGAACCTCCAACCTTTCAAAAGTAAGGTAAAGATAAGTCATACAATCAGAACTCAAAGGGCACTTGTATTTGCTAGATTCAAAGGACTACCATCAGATAAGCTTAAAGTCATTAAAGCTGAGTTCGACTACATGCTACAGCTGTTTATTATCCGTCCCTCTGGTAGCCAAACGGAATTCCATGTAAACATGGTTGCAACGAAAAATGAGAGTGATCGTCGACTATATGGAAATTACATATCCCTGGGTCGACAAACCGAACCAGATAGGTACCCAATAACCCATATTCAGGATTTTACAAACGGCTTACAGTGTATGGACATATTTATTGAAACTGACTTGGTCATGAAGTATCACAATATCCCAGTAATAATAATAATAAATTTATATTCTGAAAAATAATAATTACAGAATTCACGCCAGTTTACAGGCATGATCAATTTGATATAAGTAATAACGTGAAACGTGCAGAAAACCAACATGTGATAAAAGAAAGTTTTAAGTATACTAGTTCAGTAGTTGTTTAAGTAGTACATGTATTACAGCGATCCAAAGCATCAGCCGGGAATTTTTAATATTTCTTAAATCGACAGCCTGTTGATTTATGAACGGTGTAATTAAGGTGAATTCGTGTGTCAGATTGAAATAATGATAATTATCTACAACTAGAAAAATTAAAACGAAAACAGAGAGCACGGAACAACAAAAAAGTAATTACCAAAATATGCCAATCAGGTCTACCTAAATGCGTGTGTCATGTGACACAGTGATATACTGTTTGTGTTATTCAAATCAGTTAAAGTTGCTAGGGGCAGTGTTGACATATTGACAGAAATTGGTTGTTTTTACTAAGGGGATTCACTAATAAAGATGGCTAAACATTTAAGGTTCCTAAAATATCACTTGTGGAATGAGATACACTTAAAGGCGCTAGACCATTCAATGCATTTTCAGAAGAACATTATGCATCGATGCAGCGAACAAATAATGGGAGCGATTTTATCGTGCGGATAGGTTGTGGTAGGTTATTCCAGAGTCTAGAGAATTTACAGGTGAAGTAATTCATATAAAGAGATGATTTAGAATGAGTTTGTTTCACTAGTGCCAAGGAATTACGTATGTTATAATGAGAGGTTTCTGCATATTGAATCGCGTGATCGGATGTAAACGATAGTTTATGAAGTAGTTTGAAGAAAAAGATAAGATTTAGTTTGAGTCTCCTCCTCCATAAAGGGTCTAGCCCAAGTTTATTACATCTAGAATTATAAGTTAAGGTACAATCAGCTCCAAGAATACGAAGTGTAAATCGTCTCTGTAGTGATTCCAGCCTTAATTTATCCTTTATGAGAGCACTGCTATGAATAAACGTGCAGTATTCCAGAAGAGGTCGAGCACAAACTTAGTACATTAGCTGAGGAAGATATCCCCAAGACTAAGATTACTACATCTTTTGGACAGTCCGAGTTTTTACGCATGCCATTCGACATGAAAAACGCAACATAGACAACCTACTTCGGGGCGTGTTTTTTTGTACAAGGAAATACAGACAATTTGTTAATTACCAGTCCAATTTTTAATAACGTGAACGACACGTGAGAGCTGTTTTATAACGGACAGATGTAAAACGAATGAAAATGCATCAATGCAGGTATTTTTTTAGTGTCCAAACTTTATAACTCTCCGGACACAATAAACCTAGGCGGGATTATACCGATTACATAAGAGTTAGATATCAACATCCAGTAATCCACACTAAGTTCTTGAAACCAAATTAGAATTTTTTCTAGTTTCAGTTGACTTTTGTCATAGATTCATACATCGTTGCGGACAACTAATGGAATTATTAACAAATTTCCTCAAGAGAAAACCTAAGGAATTTAAGCTGAGTTCTGAGGCTGTCAAACTCTGCCTGTGGCTCTTCTAGGGCTACTACATGCGCAAGTCATGGTAAAGAAGGAGGGTTGGTCATGGGGTTGGCAAACCCATCCTGTAGAAAACAATCTCGCTAAAAAACACCAATCAGAATAAATAAGTTAAATCATTTAAACTCTGCCCTGAAAATCCTAGGAAAAATTATGACGGGTCATGATGAAAGTCGAAATTCTCCGGAAGTCATGAGGTTGATGCCCCTTCTGACAACCGGAGCAACCATTTATTTATGTACATGGAATGCTCGTACAGTGTGGGGGACCGGGAGGGCCAGTCAAATAGCAACGGAAATGAGGAGATACAAATTGGCAGTACTCGGAATCAGCGAAACCCATTGTACCCAAGCTAGACAACAAAGGCTGGATACGGGAGAGATGCTGTTATACTGCGGCTACGGTGAAGAAAATGCTCCACACACTCACAGAGTTGCTATAATGCTGTCCAAAGTAGCACGAAATACACTTGTAAGATGGGAATCTCACGGATCCAGAATCATCAAAGCATCATTCACAACAAAGGTGGAGGGAATCACGATGAATGCTACACAGTGTTATTCACCCAACAATGATTGTAGAGACGACGATAAAGATCAGTTTTACGAGAGGCTGTAATAAACCATAGCAAAGTGCCCATGAAATAAGAGACAACTATATGAAACGACGAATAAATTGGCAGAGAAATATAGTAAACTAGAGAGACCGGTCAAGGACAAAGAAGGCAGGTCAATCACTGAAATTCAAGAACAGTGAAACAGATGTGTAGAGTACTTCAAGGAACTCTTTAATAGGCCGGCTCCAATGAATCCACCGGACATCGAAGCAACACTCACAGGTCTTTCTATAGATGTCAGTCCACCAACGACGGAAGAAATCAGAATGACCATCAGACAAATCAAGTGTGGGAAAGCAGCATGACCCAGCTGAAGCACTGAAGTGAGACATATGAGAAGATTTCACTGTACGAAATCAATGTCCAACTACCACTAAAATATTTTGCTTTTTTAACTTGTGTAGTAGTTTTTTACATTAAGGATAAACTTAGGTTAGAACCTTTTCAGTTGTGCTTTACACTTAAGATTCTTGGGAGTAATTGTACTTAAAATCATAATTCCATAGGCATTAAACGGGAGATTTAATTATTTTACAAGTAAAATCATTGGAATCTCAACTAATTTGTGATAGTCTATCTGTAAAACTACACTGTCATCATTTGTATACAACATCAACACTCACCTTCCATCTGAGACTGCTTTAAAATGCTTATACCAATAACTTTATATCACTCCAGTTGTAAAATTATAAGGATTTTAAATGTTTGTTTACTATTATTGTTGATGATACTCATTGAACTTTCCTTCATGTTGATATTTTCTATTCTAATTAGATTAGTAGGTTACAAAACAATTTAAAACATACCTGAAGACAGATCTATGACAGTAATTCTTGTTGTTATTATGTGCTGTCTATATTTATTTTCTCTACTTCAGTTACTAATGTCCATAATTAGCGAGTAACAGTACTAGATTCGCCCTTCATTGCGTTTTTCATCCCTAAACATGACGTTCCAACTCTTTTATTAAGAAAATATTGGTTTCCAACTACTAATCTATATTGTTATTATGGTCTCTGTAAAAAATGTTCCAATAAAATAGTTTATAAACCACATCTTTTCACACAATATAGCCCTATATTTTTGTTTCTTCACATTCCCATTGTTATAACTTGAGACTGCAGATAAGAGAGCAGTGATGAATTATCGATCGGACCGGAGGCGTGTAAAACACGTAAAAACGACCTAGAGTCCTGACTAGTCTTGATTCCCTGTCTAGCTCAGCCATTTGAGTCCAGAATGTAAGTCTCAGCCTCTGTGATATGAATCATCATATTTCAAGCATATTGAGTTCATATACCAATCAATCTGACCACAACGTAACAATAAAATAGATAATAACATTTGTACACTATTTGACCAATAGGAAATGTCCATTTTAAGTCCAAGGATACCATTAAGCTTAACAGAATAAATTTTGGGATATTTCTCTGAATATCCCAACACCTCCCTTTTTTTTGAAGATCCCGAGTTGATATCTGGGTTATCGAAATGATCACATCTGTAAAAACTGGCATTCATTCTACAAGGATTTAAAACTATGTAATTTGTTGTTGAGTTATTATTATTCATATTTTTGGACTAGAAACAAATACAGCACGATCATAGCTGTATAATATTGAAAATCAATTCAATCCATTCTATGTCCATATGTAAATGGTGTGTGTGTGTGTGCACTATGCCTTTCAGAGTCATTATGTTTATATGTATATCATTGTTCTTATTCTAATGTAGCTTGATTGTGTTCCGTGACACGTTTTAAGGGTGAACATCAAAAATAAACTGTCTAATTCACAGTTTATTGATAGAGAAATCATATATTTCGTAATTCATTTATATTTATATTAATGAATAATCATTACGATTTTAGTAATGGTTAGTTTACACTTTGTAAAACATGATTGGATTTTTCATCAAACCGAATAGAGTGTAAATTAGGCCTCAGCATACACAAAGGGAAACTCAAGATCTTCAAATTCAAAGCAGAGAATAGCAATCCAATCACTCTTGGCGGCGAAACTCTGGAAGATGTAGAATCCTTCACATACCTGGTCAGCTGTATCATCGATGAACAAGGAGGTTCAGATGCACATCGTAAGTCGAAGATAAGCAAAGTAAGAACAGCATTCCTACAGTTGAATAATATATGGAACTCAAAACAACTGTCAACCAATATCAAAGTGAGAATCTTCAATGCCAACGTCAAGGCAGTTCTACTATTTGGAGCTGGAACTTGGAGAACTACCACAACCATCATCAAAAGGGTACAAATATAATGAAAATTTGATGAACTATGTAGCAGCAGGCAAGAGACGATTTTATAAATAATTATAAACCTCAACTTATATTTAGTTATGTAAATAAATCAAAGTTCAATAGCATATTTTACTGATTTTCAACAATAATGACGACATAAATAGTCCATTTTATAATCATTTCAAGTAATCATTATTACTTATAAAAATGGAGTAAGTGGACAAAGGTGAATGGGCTCATGTGGTTGGCACTTAACCTAAGTGATCATTGTTTGAATGATAATACAATGCTTTCATCAAATGTGGTTTGTTCAAGACGATACGTCTGAATATATTGCACAGTTTTGTGAACTACTAGTTCGAAAATTCAAGTCTATTACTGCTATTCATCAAGAGTTAGCGTTTTTTTTAGCGAGTAAGTTTTCTACAGGATGGGGTCGCTAACCCCATACCCAACTCTTCTCGTTTATCCGGACTTAGGACAGTCAGTAGCCCCGGGAGTGATTCCAGGCGGAGTCGCTATTCATTAAGATCATCAATTATTATTAAAGCTGGAAATCATTAGTAATTTGGTTTATCAATGCTTTTATTTTATGAAGGTTCAACATAACGTTTTTTGTATGTTTTCAACTAGACGATATTTTTTTGGATTCACTTGAACAAAATACAGGTTAGACTAATCTACAGCAATCCTACACTTATTTTATTCGACTGCAAATGCCGATGATTCTAGTTTAAGTGTTAGTATAAATGCAATTCAATTATTACAAAGTGGTCTAATATTAAGAATAATAAACCGCTACTAACATTACTTCTTAAGATATGTTGTGTCCACACTGTATTCTGTCATACTTTGATTCAGTTTAATACCACCGTACATGTCGTTTGATTTGATTAAAAAAATACACATTATGGAATATTCCTAACTGAATTGTTACTTCTCTCGTCCTCGGTCTCCAATTTAAAAATAGCGAACATGAGATTCATACCCATGTCAAGCACAAAAATCAACAAAAGGATCACCCTACCGTACATACAAGGAATATCAGAAACCGCAACGAGACTGCTGAAAACCTTCGGGATAGGTGTGGCACACAAACCAACAAAATCACTACAATCAATCCTATGCAAACCAAAGGATGAAATAACAAAGGAATACAAATCAAACATCATCTACAAAATAAATTGTGCCAACTGAGAAAAACACTACATCGGACAAAGCGGATGCCCTCTTCAACTTTGCTTACAAGAATATCATGATATTTCCTCACTTACATAGATACATGTGGACAACTGCGGACACATTCGATTGGAAAAATGTAGGAATCTTAGACAGGGGAAAGTCCAAAAATATCAGAGAATTTTTATAAGGCTGGCATTCAGTCAGCAATCAAAAAACATATTGAAATCAATCCAATTTATCAACCAATCAGGAAAATTATGCACAAATATAGGAACAGGAATCAAACCAATGAGAGACACAACCAAAACAAAGAAGTAAACAATGACAAATTAAGGGTCAATACGAACCAATCAACATCGAGGTGTACAGGTTGAGCTGTGAAACGCATACGGAGGAATTCGAATACTTCACTTCTATCTGAAGATTGTGCTGATGATGTCGTTCAGAAGAGTGATGAAAGCTCCACTAACAAACCATTCAGCTCAGAGAACAAAACTCCGCCATGAGATTCATATTTCAATGCATGATTCAGGCATTTACTACAGCAAAATTAACAGAAAATAGAAGCACAATACTGTTTTATGCTGTCACCTGATCATTGCTTATCTTCAAATAACGGCGTCAGTATCTCTTTTAAACCAGATATTCATAAACAGAACCCTTTTTGCTGTTATGAACGCTTTTCCACGTTGTTGTTTCGGCTTCAGTTTCTCAGCTAATCTAAGCACAGATCTTTTGCTGATAAGTGTCTGCCTTAGCTTATCAAGTTCAATGTCGATCGTGTGGTCGAAAAACATCAGGCCGATCCTCTTGCTGTTGTTTCGAATATTGCTCAGATCGATGTGTTAGTAACAAAAAGTGAAATTATTATCTTTTAATTTCTAATATTGATAAAAGCTGTCAACTGTTGACCTAAGTAAAGTGTTGCTGAGATTGGTAATAAAACAGCTAAACAGGGGTTTGGCCGAGTGGTGACTCGGTTTGAATAGATAGATTGTTTCCGTAAGAGGTACATCAGTAAAAAGTAGTAATAGTAGCGTGGGGTCGAGTCGCTGTTGACTATTATCACCACTACAAGAAGGTTGCGTACAGAATTTCGATAAAATCTCCCGGAATCCAAATATCAGAACACAGTTGATGGACGTAGTCGAGATATATTTGCTGATGATCTCGTGGTATCGAAAGAATACCGAGATCGTGCCAGGATATAAGCTTGGTTACTGAGTGTAACCGAATTCGCTCGAGGTAATAATCGAAAGAAGAGAACAGTGGATGCTTTTAGTACCGTTAAACAAACAAGCACAATAAAGCAATCACTGGTACAATTGGTTATAATAATGATTGTTTTCATTAAACCAATCGAGTTCTCTTGATAAAAGTAGGTCACTACATAATAATATCTGGTTAAATCTTCTTCCCGGTTACATTGCAATCCAGATAGTCTACTTTGTTCATAGAGGTCACTACTGATAATTGGTCCACCTGCCGTTTTCTTAAACACTTTTTTTCATTTCTTCACAGTTTTTTATAAACCATGTTTTCAATTTTTTCTTTAAGAAGTGCACTGGTATCAAAAGAAACGAAGAATTTATTTGAAATTAGTCCCTTCAATTCATGTTAACAATCCCGATGTTGTTATCCTCGTTTTATCAATGGATCAAATAATTGAGAACTTTGTACCGTATAAAACAGTCGTTTAGTTGTTGACTGTATACTGGATTGTTGGTCGCAACAATTTTACAAACGTTGTTTTAATTTTTTTAAGGTTTTTTTGTAGGTTAAAGGAATAAGTCCATTCATTCAAAGCGTGAAGATTTCAAACTAGGTTTTAAATGTAGATTTCAGTGGTATTTGTTGAATTGTCATAGAAATTTTAACATAGTGACTATACTTGTGCTTTAATTGTGGATAAAGAAATATTAGTTAATTTGAAGGAGCATTTCTTAGGCACTTCAGAAGTGGAAGCATACACCTCTATTGAAATGGAATGCTGATACTGATGTATTAGTTTTGTGCATTACCTATCATTTTTCGTGTGGTTGAGTGGTGTAAGGCGTTGGATCTGTGCTCCATCCACATGATACCTGTTCACAATCACTCGAGTCACACCATAACCACCAAGTGACACTGTGCATATTCTCACAGCGTTCCGTGTCGCTTGAACACTTGGTACAATGCACAACACTGACCAGTGACAGTGCCTTAAATAATCCCATTCAGAGACAATATTGTCTCAAAGTATGGAGCAACTGTGATGTGTGGTGATGATTGATTAAGTGAGACAGTGAGTGAACAACTGACTGAGTGAATGAGAGATTGTATGAGCGAGTGACTGAGAAGCAGATGGTTTCGTCAGGTGTTGTGTGTGATCCGTGTGATCTGATTCCATGTTGATGATGCATGTGAAATTGCATATGCGTGTGTGTGTGTGTGGATTGTGTATTATATTGTATTGTGCGTAGTTAGTTGTGTTGTCCGGAATGGTTTAGTGTATTTGTGTGAGGGTGGAATGGAATAAAGAAACTGATGAAATAGATTTCTAAACTGTTTACAGTTTTTCCTGTGGTTGAGTGGTAAAAGGCGCTGGATCAGTGTTCCAAAGTGAATGGGCGTCGGCTCGAGTACCATACACATGATAAAGGTTCACCATAAAAGAAAACAGATCATAAACACAAGGTGACACAATAAATAATCTAACAGCCTTTCGTGTCACTAAAATACATGCTGCAATACATAACGAGAAATTGAGTGAAGATGCAAATGATGAAGGAATAGATGAAGTAAGGATGGACGAATGTTCCAATTCATTCGAGTTGAGCATGTCGATCGTGATAATACTGAAAACAGTATTCCGTAGTATAGAGTGCATAGGTGCATGTCATCGACACTTGCTTCGACATTGGTTCCTCGAGTTTCGACAGTCACGTGACCTCAATGTTTCCACCTCGAGGTCAATTGTCACAACCTTGACAGCTCGAGAACTCCTGGCCACGTGACTCCAAATCCCCATCTCAAGGTCACTCGACTCCACGTTGACTTGTCGGCCACTGCCGGTCACTTGACACGGCCTTGTCCGTCTCAAGGTTATTTGCCGCAACCTTGATTGGCGGCGGCCGTTGATTACGTGTCACGGCCTAGTCCATCTCAAGGGCATTTGCTTCGAGCGGACCATGTCGATCGTGATAATACTGACAACTGTATTCAGTAGCATGGAGTGTACGTTGGTGAGAGGATTGAAAGACCATATAATCAGTGTGTACGAGTTTGTTGGCTAGTTGTTAGATAATCAGGTAATTGATTGAAGATGCAAATGATGAAGGAATAGATGAAGATAGGCTGGACGAATGTTCCGATTCAATCGAGTTGAGCATGTCGATCGTGATATTACTGACAACTGTATTCCGTAGTAGGGAGTGTACGTTGGTGAGAGGATTGAAAGACCAAGACCATTTATTCCAAAGCCGCTAAGGCGAAACATTTTCGAAGCCATGCACAATATTTCGCATCCCGGAAGAAAGGCCACCATCAAACTAATCAGCGAACGTTTTGTATGGCCATGTATTAATCGGGATATTCGTAATTGGACGCAAGCGTGTATAAAATGCCAAGGAGTTAAGATACATCGCCACACCAGTTCCGCAGTAGGTCATTTCCGTCATCCCGATAACAGATTCGAGCACATACATATCGATATTATAGGACCACTGCCGGTTTCCAATGGCTTCAGTTACATTTTCACTTGCATTGATAGATTCACACGATGGCCTGTAGCTGTGCCCATAAAAGATATTACAGCCGAAACTATCGCAAAAACCCTAGTAGAGCATTGGATCTCCCATTATGGCGTACCTTCTAATATTACAACCGATAGAGGAGCTCAATTCGAGAGCCGCCTT